AGCTAAGAAAATATTATTTTGTTTGCCGTCTTGGCTTAACCATTGGTTTGGGGGTATTCTATAGAAATGGTGACATGTCTTATTTGAAGACCTTAATTAAAATCTACCAAATCTTCCTTGGTGAATTGTTGATCATTAACTTTCATAATCAAGTGTGGTACATTACACTTATAAATAATGTTATTCCAAGCAAATTTTTGCACTTGTTAAGCTTTAATATTTGCTAATAGTTCAATCTTAATTCACTTTTTGAAGTAATTTATTAGCAAGTAAAATTTGCATTACCCTTTCATCGATGGGAAGGTACCAATAATTCTATATCCCAAGTAGTAAAAGGCCAATGAGATGTGATGATATGCAGTACTTCTTTGGCGAGGTGTATGAGATTATCATTTTACTTGCAAATTGTGAACCAATAATATCTAACATGAAGTACTAGGAAAATATTGATCTTGTCTCATAATGCAATTTGCAAACCCCTTTGTATAATTTATCCATTATGCATTCAATCTATTTGTTTATAATACATCTAAGTAGAGGTGTCATAAAGCTCCTTTTGAACATGTTATCCCCGATAAGGAAAAAATATAGGTTTTTCTCCATAGTACAATTTTAGGTCTTGGGGACTACTTCGTGCTCAAAGATATTGAAGAATAAGTGTGATCCATATCGATATATTTGTTAGGGTGTCAAAATAGAGTTGTCTTAATGACTAGTATGAAAAGTCCAAAAAATAAATTAAGTCAAGCATAATAATTATGACCTAAATTAAATTAGGTCAATTTTGACTTAGTTTATTTAACTTATGACCTAAATGGATTTTGGTCATGTAGATTTATGAGTTAACCTTTTATAAAATAATATTATTTTTTAAAATAAAGTATTATATATAAGTATTATAAATTAATTTAAGAAGACATTCACTTATTCAAAGGAAGAATAAGAGTTAAAGACTTACTCTTTGTTTTCACCATTTATTTTCTTGTAATATAATATTTTAAATAAATTACTAGTTTAAACTATTAAATTACTAAAAATTGAATGGGGAGGAGGAAAAGTAAGTTTCTTACTCTTACTATTAAAGTTAATAGATCATTTATCTTATAACTTATATAAGAAATCATCATATTTGAAAAAAAAGTTAATTTTATTAATATAACTTCAATTTAAAAATATATTTTTTATTTTATTTTTATATAAATCATTTATTCATTTGTTTTTATTATTTTTCATATGTTTTTTTTTCTAAATATAGATCAAGTTAAGTGAATTTTCTTTTCCTTAACTCTGTAAAATAAAAAAAAAGTTTATGTTAGACTCTCCATTTTTATAACTTTTATAACCTTACCCATTCTTGGTTGTCACATATTTCTCTAGGGCAATTGTGGAGATAAGAGAATCTTTTATATGATTTTCTATGTCTTTTTTTTTTTTTTAACTTGCTAGTTTTAATAATTGATAAGCTTGGCTATTTTCTTTTTATTGAATAATTGGCAAGCGCATCAATATTATCAATCGTAATATAGTATTTCGATTAAATAAAAATCGATTGTTTGAGTAACGATTTCACTGAAAATTCCAAATCATAGACTTACTAAGTGGATTAAAACAAAACTGGTTTTTCATAAAGGTGTAGGTTGAAAATAAATGACAGAGAACTGTAAAATATTTTTAGAAAAGATAAAATAAAAGAACTTAGGTTTGATTTCATTCTTTTTCCCTCTTTTATATAATGGTTAGGTCAAATTAAGAACATTAATTAACCTATCAATGTTGATGTCACCTACTTAAATCATGCACATTGATTTCTCGCACATGAAATTCATGAGAAGACCTAATAAACATTGATTCCTCATATATTTAATAGATTTAGATTTCCCAACATTAAGTTTAACGTGTTAAACAATTGATACATCCATTACCATTCCTAGCAATTAACGTAACAAATATTCTTACCCTGATATAGGGTTTCAAGATATATTTTCCAATACATCACAAACATCAAAGAGCACAAAGGATAAGAATATCAACATCAAGAACATAGATTAATATATTAAAATATCACCAAGATACAAAAGAGTTCAAAGGAAATTCACTCAATCCTAAGAGAATGAAGTTAGCTACTCATAATGACCATTACAATGATCCAATGAAGAAGAATTCAAGAAGAATTGAAGATTGGACGAAAACTGGAGTAGATGTCACCCTCTTCTCAAAATCTCGAACTCCTCTTTTTCAAAACACATCTTATCTTTTTATATAAAAATTTCGTGTCATTCGCTCAAACGGATATTTTCGCTCAGGTGAGAATTTGCTCGCTTGAGCGATTGAATTTCCAAGAGTTTTAATGTATTTTTGCTTAAGCGAGCGTCTACCTCGCTCGAGCGACTGACTTCTATAGAGGTTTAACGTATTATTGTTCAAACAAATCTTAGGCTGAAATCTTCTTCCTTTTTTCTAATTTTTCTTCAATTAACTTGAGAATTATGATTCTTGCTCTTGTACCCAGGTACTCTGTAAATTCATCCTACATTTGAAGAAAAATAGATTAGAATCAACATAATTTAAGTGGTTAAATAACAATTCAAAATATAATTAGATCTAACTTTTGCCCCTTAACACTTCTCTTTATATATGATCCAAGCACATTTTCTTAAAATTTGTCAACATCTTCATGATATGATGGAAGTATTAGTAATAAAGGGTAGTTTTACCTAAAACTCTTTGGAGAGGTGACCCATAATGTTTTTCAAATTGCTTTGGCAAATAACTTTGGTTGTACCCATGTGTATTTTTTCCTAATGGGGACTGAATGTGAGTGATTCATATACCCATGTTTAGAATACAAGGGTGAGAGATTGATCAATTATCATATTCTCTTACCCTTTTTTTTTTTCAATCCCTACACCACTTCTTATGTGTCAGCATTTAGAGTTCATCAATTATCCTAGACTTCCTTAATCAAGGACAACTTACCCATAAAATCAACTAAATATTATGTTTTTTTATAGATCCTCTCGACTCAACATGTTACTCCAAAATTTGATAGTTCAATATACCAAAGTATCATATGTGTTTATAATTTGGGTTTTTGTAACACTTTGGAGACTGGGTAGTTTATTCTGATTATAATTAAGTGGATTTGAAACTAGAGTCGGAGTCTTTTCAATTCTCATTAAGAAAATCAAGATTAAAATTAAAAAGATTCCAATTCTAATGATGAAATATATAAAATATTATTTTATTCTTATTTCAATTAAAATTGAGCTTATTCTTAATTAAGGATATCCAAGATATTTTTTTTAAGAATAAACTTTCTATAAGATCTAAAGATAGAAAGAATCTAATTAGACATAATAAGTTAAATTTATAAATTCTACTTTAATATATTTCATATTATTCTCAATTGCTTTTGTTATATACATCAATCATCCAACACATTATTATTTCAAAAAAAACTTATATAATTCAATAATAAATTACATAAAGTATTTATGTAACTTTAAATTTAGAACAAATCATTTTTATCATAATTAATCTACTATACTCAAAATATATTATTTCATATATCAAAAGAAATATATTCCGTGTTACTACTAATAATATATATTGTATTTTCACTGAATTTTTTCTTATCAAAATTGGATACAGTTATATAATATAAGTTTTCATTTGCTTTCCACATAAACACTCATCTATCATACCACTTATCGATTACAGTGAAAAAAAAATCTAATATACTATAGACACCTTTCTAAAATCACCCTAACGATCAATGAATAAATTTTTTAATGATTAAATTATTAATGTAATAATTTATGTTTAATTATAAAAAATAGTTTATCTAAACTATTAATTAAACATATATTTATTTATTTAATATTTAAACTTTAATTAAACTATTAAAATATTTATTAGTTAAATAATTGGTAAAATTAGTCTTTTATTAAATTTAATAATTTACTAAAATTTGTTAATTAAATAATTATAATTTAATTATTAATGTTTATTAATTATAAAAAATACATCTAATAAAATAATTAGTAAATTTAATATTATTTATTAGTTAAATATCATTGATTTTAGTAGTATAGTATTTACAACTTTAAATACAATAAGTTCATCAATAATTTATTTACCAATAATCACAAAATTATATAATTTATTTAAAAGTTGTAATCGTATGAAAAGGAAAATAAATTGAAGGTATTATACAAACATGAGGGAGTTGGAAAGAGAGGTGGTAGATAGAGAGAAAAGTGAGACCTGACAAAAAAAGAAGAAGAAAAAGAAAGGGAAAAGAAAAGGGAGATATAATTCAAATATTTTATTTTATCCACTGTTGACTTCATTAACAAGATATGGAAGACACCATTTTGAAGTTAAAATGTCAGTACGATACTTACAAATTTTAACAGTAATAATATTTAAGTGTTAAATTAAAAAGTAATTAACTATCATCATTGCATATAAATATAGAGAGAGTTTAATATAATTTTTGAAACAGAGGAAAGAGTAGCATTATTGAGCCGCGAAACCCAGTTACATTATATCTGTGGGGAGGGCTTTCTGATCCGCTTGTGTCTTATCACTGCTTTCTCTCTCTCTCATACAGACTCTCTCTCTCTCATGCTTTAACTTGGATCCGTTTACTATCATTACTGGTTTTCCTCTTACGTGTGGTCTTAGGAGCACTCCACCCATTAACTCTCTCTCTCTCTAGGAGTCACTAGCCCTTGCAGCTTTTCCTCATGAGGGTACTTTAAACCCCCTCCATTGTACCACAACACAAAAACACAAACCCAACACTCTCTCTCTCTCTTTCTTTCCTCTTTTCATACCAACAACAAAGGATCTCACTCAGAAATGCTCCTTCGTCCCTTCCACTTCTGTTCCAACCCCATCATCACAACCCTACCCCTATTCCCATAGCTTCCGTATTTCACACGCTCTTCCCATTTCTTCTTTTTCCTTATTCTCAAAGAGAGAGAGAGAGAGAGATGGAGTTTGGAGGGAACATGTTCTGCCTCGGCAACAGAGACCAAAATGGAAACACTAACGGTAACACTTTCGCTTGGGATTCATGGGAAACAACTACTTCTAATAATAACAACAACAGTACAAGGTTGGTCAACGCTTTCAACGCCCCCGTCACTGGAGTTGCCGTGCCGGAGGGCTCCGCCGCCAACCGCCACGAGGCGGCGGGTTTGGCCAACGCTCTCATGTTCCTCCCTCAAAACGGCGGCTTTTTGCGTCACCGCCAGCAGCAGCAGCATCCGTACAGTGGGGATGGGTCCCACGTGCACCCCGACCCGCACCTCATGTGCTTGAAGCTTGGGAAGAGACATTACTTCGAGGACGCTTGTGGAAGTGGAACAGTTGCTGCTGCTGCTGCTGCTGCTACCACTTTTGGCGGGGGGTTGGTGTTAGGGGATAAGAGAGGGAAAGGAGGGTATTCCGGCGGCGGGGCTGCCGTAAAGGCGGTGGGTTTGTCGGCGGCGACGGTGCCGAGGTGTCAGGTGGAAGGATGCCAGGTGGCGCTGGTGAACGCAAAGGACTACCACCGGAGGCACAAGGTGTGTGAGATGCACTCCAAGGCTCCCAAAGTTGTGGTCTTAGGGTTGGAGCAGAGGTTCTGTCAGCAGTGTAGCAGGTCAAACCTCTATCATTTTCTCAAATAATAATAATGATAATATTAATATTAAAAGTTTCGAACTGTAATTTTCGGTCGTAACATTAAAATTTTTGTTTTTTCTATATCTGCATCGTGATCGTAGTTGCAGCCACATCAATGACATTTGTCTGTAATCTCCGATAATGTGAAGAGTTTTGACAAATTTGATGCAATCTGAACTTTGGTGGTGTCTGAGCTACAAAGAGTGTTAGAGGGTTCATTATAGATGGAAAATAACTTCTTTTTTATGTGGTAAAAGGATCATATCATGACTTTGCCCATGGAAAAACAAAACTTCAACTTAAGCAACTTAATTTTTCGTACATTCTTATTTTACTTTTTTACCACTAGATTTATTTTAATTTTTTCTTTTTCTAAAAATAATCAAACTACAAACTTTATCTTAGATATTCTTCCTAAATATCTGGCCAGTTCATTGATAGGGGAGAGATCTAAGCTGAGACAGATGACTGGATTAATAAAATGTCCGAATTTTAATTTGAAATATATATATATATATATATATATATATATATATATATATATATATTATAAAAAAATTCACTGATAACATAAAAATAAATAATAGAGCATTTCTTTTTGCCGGTGAGGTGTAAGTGATTTCCATGCTTGCTCATATGGGTTTTGCTGTTCTTCGTTTTCTTTGTGGGTGTCTGAAGAATGAGGGCGTGACATTCTTTAATCACATAAACCCTTTGTACTGTCTCTGATTTGAGTTCAGTGTTTCCGTAACTTTCTTTTCCTTTATATTGTTCGAGTGGATTCAATAGTTGAAATTTTTATGTTGGGTAAAGGTTAAAAGTATCGTTTTCTTGGTATATATTTGTATCATTTTTCTGTAGCTGTCGGAAGAATAATATATGATTCTTGTGCATGCTTTACAACTCTCGCATGTTATTCGTATATATGCACAGATTCTACTTTGCTCATTTCTTCGTGTAGTGACTGTCAGTACCGGAATAATACAACTCTGAAATTAACCATTAATTTTTTCAACATTTTGCAGACTTACTTTGTCTGAGTTTAATCTTTCTCTAATATTTTTTTTCTGTGTGTGTTAATGAACATGAATAAATTGGAGAGGTTAGAGTTGTAATTTGCTAAGGTTTAGAGTTGTAATTTGCTTTTATTTTTGTCTTTATTGGAAGGATGATGTGATATATTCGTGCAACTTTTTAACGAACGGTTGAAATGAGCTGTGTAATTTGTTTAGATAATACTGTATATATCTTTGTGTTATTGTGAATTGTTAATTGAGATAACAAATATAGAAAATATTGTGATGGAACTGGATTTGTAGGTTTCACGTGGTGTCAGAGTTTGATGATTCAAAGAGAAGTTGTAGGAGGAGACTTGCAGGTCACAACGAGAGAAGAAGAAAGAGCTCCCATGATTCTGTTGCTAGGAATTCTTCACAAGGTATTTGTTTCTCCATTTCATCTTTCTTTCTATCACATTTGGATTAAGAAAATGTTTTCTAATTTCCCTTTGGTGTTTGTATTATATAAGTTAGAAAAGAAAATGAAACATAAAATAATGACAAAATGTTTTCATTAATTCTATATAAACTTTTATATCTTTGGAAGAAACTAAAGTAGGTCACTTTTTTATAATTATAAATGAAAATAAAAGATATTTTTCAAGCTAGACAAACCGTAATTACCAAATTGAATATTTTTTTTATTTCTTTTTAAAATTTTAGTCCTTCTTTAATTTGTTATGGACGATATTTTTCAATCTGTTTTATTTTTTTTTACAATTATAGTATCCGGATTTTTAAATTCTCAATTTTTCGTACGTTTATTTTATTATTTTACATTTTAATTAACTACAGTATTTCTCATTGGTTTTTTGAATATATTAAGTTTATAGTTCAATTTAGACCTGAAAAAAAAAAGTATGCAGAGTTGAATATTGTATCAGAATCGGGAATAAAAAATTGAAAAGATAAGGGATCAAAACGGTAATTAACCTTTTTATTTTTGCTTTAAATCATGATAAATCTTATTAATAAATTATTTTTATTAATCATTTTGATTGATTCTGTCGTTTTTTTTCTCATTTTCTGGCAACAAGAATGCAGTTATATATCAATTGATCTCGAGTCAAATCTGAAGAAATTAACGCAATAGAAAAATAACTTATAAACACTGATTTAAACTATTTAGGTTGTTGTAAATTCTTCCTCTTCTTTCGAAAGTTTATATAAATAAAGCAACTAAATTTTGTTATATGAGAAATTGAGATGCAATCAAATTTCCAATTAAGTTGTTAAGAAGTACTTGTGTTGTTTGAAGCAGACAAAAGATTTTTAACTTGGAATATTTTTAAGTTTAAATTGAAAAATAATAATTTAAAATTCACTGTTTGTAATATTTACAGCATTATGAAACATTATTATGCAGAAAATGATTTGTGATGAATTTATAAGCTATTGTACTTTCAAACAAGTTGGGTTGAAGTTTGTTCGGAAAGGAAAATATCTCTTTCACTTCAAATATTCTGAGGGCAAGGTGCTTCTGATGGAGCCATGGAAATGCATATTGACAAGTCATCAGTTATAAAATTATTTAGAAACATGAAGTTCGAGAAAAGGTGAAGAACTTGAGTTAAATGGGGTTAATTAAGACATTATAATCACCTATGTAACTCTTATTCTTTTCAAAATTTCTGTTAATTCTTTCTGATTAATACATTCTGATATATTACTTGGAATAGGATGAGTTGTTTGGTAGAGTTTACATTGTTAGCTTTTGAAGTTGAGTTTACCACGTAGTTAAGTGCTTATCAGAATAATTGAGATAATTTAATATTCTCTATATATATTGATTGTGAATATGCTCAGTTTTTTTTTTTGTATATTTATTTTTATGTGATTTTATTGTAGTGATAAGTAGCTGAAGAGTTGTGGATTCAAAGTCAGTATTTTGTTTTTCCATATACATTAGGGCATTTATTAGCAGAGCCATTTTTTACTGTAGTAAGGAATCAAAGTGTTTGTTTGGGAAAATTTCTGGATAAAGAGTAAGAAGAAAAATATGGAAATGAGTATAAGTTAAAATTAATTTGTGTAAAAGGTTGAAAGAGAAAAAGGAATAATTAGAGAAAAGTCACTTGAAGAACTTCTACAAATTAGTGTATGCATAAATTAATATAATTTTTAGAATAATTTGTCGTATTTTTCTTACTCTTTTCTCTTAGAAGTCTTTACCAAACATAACAAGTAACTGCAGTACTACTTTTTCTAAATTTGCAGAATTTTGTAACCTAAAAGAAAACAAGTGCTGCATCTACTTGGAAGATTATTATTCCCTTTTTTAATAAATTGTTTAGTGGTAACATGTGTATTTGATTTTGGAGGATTTCATTACAACATTGTAATGACATTATTAATGTGTTAATCAGGAGGGTGTGCTCTCTCTCTTCTGTCATCTAGAAGTGATTCGTGGCTTTCTCCTTCTGATCTCTCCACAAGATGCAGTGCTGCATTGCGGGAATTGATAGCAGAAAACCGGGCAGCCATCATGGCGAGGCAGTTTGTTTCAGACAGAGATTGGCATCTTCACCATCATGCAGTGGAAGACTTGAAGGAGATCCAACCTGAGTCCAATTACTTCCCACAACAGATGTTTCCCCAGACACAGTGAAGAAGGAAGGATTCATTTCTGAAAGAACTTCAAACCCTAATGCAGTCTAGTTTTCACCCAAGGTTAGGGAACCAACATTTCAGACATTTATAGTGTGTGTGTGTGTGTGTCTGTCTCATGTTTTCAATTCTTTAATTTGCTGAAAATAAAAGTTAGAACTTCTTACAAGGGTCAGCCAGGGTGCTACCTAGCTAGACTAGTTTTTATTAGGCTAATAAATCCTAAGCTTGTATTAGCATCTCTATATGTTTCTATGTCTTTGAAGGGTTGTTTTATATTGAATTCGATCATGGAAAACTGTATTGAATAATTGGTTTCACTAAAATATTTTGCATGGCTAATTTGCAACCCTTACTCAGACCTTATCTCATGTCAATATTTTGGAATGCATTGGGAAAAGGATGTTGGGGGTGTTGGTTCAGTTGAACGTGGAAAGCAGTCACTGAAGTTATTGTGGGTATGTTTGCACTAATTTGGCAAAACGGCAGCGCCGATGGAATATTGAAAAGGAAAACTTGAAAGTTGTTGATACATGAAATTAGATTTTGGATATCACTACGTAATTATATATCGAAATTCGATGAATAGAAGTAGTAGTAGTGATGAATACGAGATTGACACGTAGAAACACGTTTTATCACTTAAACTCATCATACAATTTTTAATATGATAACTATGTATTAATAAGACGAAAACTTCAACGTATAATAATTTATAATAAATCCAAAATTGAAGGGTGAAACAGTTAAGGTAAGGAAATTTAGGAGTTTGAAAGAGATTAATAATATAAATCTAATTAAAAAAAGTAAACAAAAGCAATGGTTATATTTTTTTATATTTCTTGTTTCATGATACTTAAATCTACAATCTAAATGTAACTTTACAAGATAAATCGATAATAATTATAATCATTCGTTGTCTAAATAGTTGGATCTAATTGATTCATTATATTTAATTGATTTAGAAATATATATATATATATATATATATATATATATATAAATTATAAGAAAAATAAGTTATATACATAAAAAAAATTATTTATGATGTAACATATTAAATTTAATCAATAAATCTTAATGATAATTTTTTTATTGAATTATGAAAAATTAAAATCATAAAAGAATCAAATTTAATTAATGAATCAAATTTCTTATTAAAAAATTAACTCTAAAAGTTTAGAAAATTATAAGAAAATAATGGAGAATATAAATTACATGAATTAAAAAATTAAAAATTTGAAATATAGATGTAGAACATTGAAATTTAAAATGTATTTGATGTAAAAAAAATATGAAATGTCTAAAACTAAGAACTAGAAAGTATATAACAAATTGTATTAAAACTAAACTAAAACTAAAATATAACTTATATCTTTTATCATTTTAATGTTTATTTATAAAAAAATAAACACATTATAATATTCATTGAGTAAAAAATTTATAAAAAAATTTTAAATTTTTTGAATTTATCATTCTATATCAATGTATAAATATTCAGTAAAATTACAATTTAATTAATAAGTTAAGTAAAGATCTATATAATTTTATTAAAAAAAATAGAAATAAGTCAAAAAGATGAAAAATACATTTTTTATCAATAAATCAAGATGTCAATTAAAAATTCAATCATAAAGATTTTATATTCATAATATTAAAATCCAGTACTATATAAATAATTTCAATATACAACAACTGAGGGGTTCTTCATAAAATAATTAAGAATATTTAATCCTCACTTAAATGAAATTTATATAAATCTCTTCAATGTTTAGAATAATTGTTTCTATCAAATCACATGTAAAAAATAAGATGAACTATAAGTTTGACAAAATTCTAATTCAATAAATTATTTAGCATACAAATTAAAGATAAAAAAAAAACTTAAATAGGATGTAACGATATTAAAGTCTTTAATTCAATGCTTAAAAAAACTAAAAAGAAGAAGAAGAAGAGATTATATTTGAATTTTTAAATAAATTATAATAATAATTCTTTATATATATTTTTTATTTCTTTTTCTTTTATTTATTTTTTTTCATGATTTTTCATATTCACTCATTTTTGCTGTGTGAAGTTTTATGTTGCTAGGCAAATTAACATTTTCATAAATTTTTTCTTTTTCTAATAAACTAAGATTTTTGGCATGGCTTAGCGAAATTGGTATATACTAAGTGAAGATGTAACAAGATAGTATCCAACTTATATAACTAATTTTTTCCATCCTCAAAATTATTATCAAAACATTTTCAAAACTTCTCAAATGATCAGAGCCTAGGTAAACATAATTTTTCACTTATTTGGCTTATAATATAACTTGTAATTAAAATAATTAGAATATTATGCTCATAGGAGATAAACAATGTTAATATAATAATAAGGTACATTAATTTTGCTTTAACTCAAAGAATAAATGTGTAAATCATTTCAATGACTACATATTGACAAGTTCAAATAAAAAGATATAAGTCTTAATCTAACATTTTAAGTTCTAGAGTGAATCACATAATAAAAAAAATAGGCTCAAATTTCACATGATTTTTTTTCTATCTAATTAATTTAAAATTTAACTTGATCAAGAGTTATTTAAAGAAAATATATTATATAAGTCATTCTAAACATAATGGTGTTAATTATAATAATTAAATATCAATTTCAACTCAAATTTATACTAAAAATATACAAAAAAATAGATGTAAAAAATAAAACATAGGAGTCACTCCTATAACTTCACACTTGAATTTTTTTATTGTCTTAAATATAAATAAAGACAAAATCAAGATAAAATTAAACATGAGAATATTTCAATAATATTTATTTGAAATTGGGAATTTATAAAAACATTTTAATCTATAATCATTAACTTAATTTTTATATAACTTCCATTTTAATCTCAAGAACTCCACATGTAATAATATAAGAACTAAACCACTTGAATCTCAGCATATATTAACTTTAATTTAGAATTATACAATAAATTTTGTCAACTACAAACTCTTGCCTCAAAATACTTTTAACATGATTTTTTTTCTTTCTTTATAAATTCTAGAATTTTCATATGTTTCAAGTTTTAACTCTTCTAATTGTTATAACTGTAATAACTTATGTCCACCTTCTTCATCAAAAAAATAAATTACAATTTTGAATAATCTAATAAATTTTATACTATGTTTTAATAGGTAAATGACAAGTCTTACCAAAGAAAATCCTAGAAAGAGACATCCCTAAGTGTTTTTTAAGTTGTTTTATGAACCCAAAATGCATAATCAAATTTAATACTCCAATCTTTCTTGTTAGGTTGAATATTTTTAGTTAAAATTTTATTGATATCTTTATTAGATATTTTAGCTTAACCCTTTGTTTATGTATGGTATGTTGTAGATATTTTATGCATAACTTCATGTATTTTCAGTAAAGAAACAAAAGATATATTACAAAAATGATTTTGTTGATCACTAATGATAGCTTTTGGCATCTCAAACTTGCAAAATGTATTAGATTTAACAAAATCTACAACAATTTTAATATCATTTGTTTTGGTGACTTTAGCTTCCACCCATTTAGAAATGTAACCAAGAATAAGCAATATATAATTAAAACCAAATTAAAAGGACAAGGTCCTTTAAAGTATAAACCCAAAATATCAATTATTTCACAAATTAATAATGGTTGTTAAGACATTTGATGCCTACTAGATATATTACCACCTACTTTATTCACATGATTTACAAATTGTCCATGAATCTTTTAACTATGAATGACCAATAAAATCTACACCTAAGAATTTTTCTTGTAGTTCTTTGGAAACCCAAATGCCCTCCAATAGATGAAGATTGACAAAAATTTAAAACATTGTCCAAAACAAAATATTTAAAATTATGTCTCAATTTATAATTATACTTTAGAAATATTTAAAGGATAAACAGAAGTATAAACAATATTTGCATATTAAGACCTATGATTTAAGTTAGAATTAGTCATTAATATATTATCAATATCATAAAGATGTTCATCAGGCAAAAAAATCACAAATAAAATGGTTATCTAAATTTGTTCTATATGACTTAAATGATTTGTAAATAAATTTTATGTATCACTTTATCTTGAATAATTAAATCAAAATCTTGTAACAAAAACATCTATATAATTAATATAGGTTTATAACGAGGTTTCTTTAGCAAATATTTAGAGTAACATGATCATTATACATAATAAGTTGAGAACCAAATAAATAAGAGCTAAATTTAATGGTGTTCAAATAGACTTAGTCTGATGGATCGACACGAAAGACCCGAGAAATAAGTCAGGTTAAATCAAACAATTTGTGGTATAAATTGAATTAAACTAATCTTAGCCCAACTCATTTGGCTCATGACCTAAATGGATTTAGGTCAAGCTAGTTTGTAGTCTTATGATCTAACTATTTAAAAAATATATATTCTTTTATTAAAAAATACATATGTATTATAAATTAATTTGATAAGAAATCTTTTTATTCTAATAGTAAGTCTCTAGCACTCACTTGTTCTAGAGTCTAATCGTTATGATGAATTACTATGTTAGACCATTAGGTTATTAAAAAATAAATGGTAACAAAGAGTAAGTCTTTAACAAAGAGTAATTAGATTATTATTATCTTTTTTTCTTTATTTAGCTCTAGGATAATGATAGATTAGATTGGAACACCCGTTTTGACAATCCTATCAAAGTTTATCAAAAGTAAAAATAATAACTAATATCTTTTTTTTTTGTAGTAATATGATTAACTTATTCAAAATCTAAAGTTCTAGAAGCATAATAAATATCATAAGAAACTTTATTTATTCTTTACCTAAATATGACTCCCCTAATATAATTAGACGCATTAAACATAATTTCAAAAGGAAAACTCCAATCAAGAGGTTTAATAATAGGAGTAGAAGTTAATGCATTTTTAAATAATCAAAATCTTACTTACATTTGTCATCAAAATTAAATATTACCTCTTTTTATAATAATATA